AATTTAAGAAACAGTGAATAAGTTTTCAATAAACTTTTTTGAAAAATTTAAGTATAGACTACGATAGGTATATTTATGAACAGTAGTCATTCAGTAATTACAAGTGCAGGTACTTGTCATTCAATTATTTTAATTATTACCCTTTACTTAACTTAAATCAGCAGATAATGACCTGCATTTATTGTTGAAAGCTGTTTTAATAGCAAACGCTTCATGTTTGATCAATCAAAGCTTCGTGGGTATTGATTACTGATTACCCATGCGTAACTCATATTACTATGCGTATTAGTTTTTTCTCGACATTTTGGTTCAAAAAAATATTTATTCAAATAACTCTAGGACTTCTGTAGATATGGAAGGATATTATTTCGTCGACGTACATTAACACAATTATTATCATCAAATGGTTTTTGTTGTGATGTCATTCCTTCGGAAAGAAAATCTTCGGGTGTACATGCACTCATCGTAATAGCATACAGGAAAGTCATTCAACGTGTATAGTGAAAGACGTTTAACAGCTCTTGTTTTGTTTTATTGTAAATTAATTATCAAATCTAACCATTTTATTTAAACCTCCCGAAGTAATGTTTAAGAAGTGAATACATAACGATGATGAATGTCGTTCTACAGCCAAGGGAGGTAATTTTATTTTACACCAATTCCGCGAATTCATCAAACCGCGATCATGTGAGAGGAGAGAAAAACCTGAAAATTACAACCCGTGAAATTTATCCCCTATACAGTCTACACACAACTTGTTCTGTTAAGAGTGCAATTACGTTTCTCACACTCGAACAGCCAGTACAAGCTAATGCACTAGTGTAACACGTTCAGAAATATATATATGAAGTGTTCTGCAAAAGGAATAAATATTAGTTTTTACTAATATTCTCAGGAAAAAAAAAGAAATTCAAAATGATTAGAATTGCTGATTTACATCAATAAAAAATAAATTTTGGTCAATCTATTTAATTGTATAATATTTACATTTGCAAATGTTTTCCCTTATATAACACTATTGAAAGCAACGCGTATCTATATCCGTATGAACACAGGTTCCTCGCGTCATAAACGTTCGACGTAATTTCTCAGTGACGTCATAAAGGGTAGACGCGCAAACAATGGATCAAATACGTGCCGTTGAGTTTGAAAAATAAACATTTCACGCGTTAAAGATTATAATCAGGAAAATATAAAATATGAATAAGTCATAAATGTAAATATAAGTAATAATGTATCATTTTTAAACATCTATCGGATATAAATACGGGTTGGTACGAGATCAAATTTACCATAAAGCCCTTTGGGCTTTATGGAATTTGATCTGGAGACCAACCCGTATTTATATCCTGATAGATGTTTAAAAATGATACCTTATTTCTTAAATGAAACTTTTTACAAATTGAAAAGAACTGCTATATCTTTATTTGTTCTGTTCATATTTACGCATATTTTTGCAAAGAATGATAACTCTTCATGCTAGGGTGTTTCACGTTCAGATGAAATGAAATTTCTGTAATACACTGTAGTACATCTATTTTAAGAACAATTTCAGCTCATAAAATGAATTTTAAGAACTTAAAAAGCATAGGAAAAACATTCTTAAGTGAAAATCAATATAAAAGCATTCTCTTTTTTTCATTATACTGCTAAATAGATAATTTTTCTCTGAGGGCTTCGATGACGTCACAACTGCATCAAAACAAAAAAAAAAAAAGAATTTGAAGACGATGTGGTGTGTATCCAGATAACTGTGGTTGAGAAGCAAATACCATATATATTATTTGTAATTTATTGAGAAAGGGTTGATTAATTAAGTCTACTCATTTTATTGTCACGTTTTTTTCTTTACTGGAGACAAACAGCCATACCCGTATGTAAGCCAGGATTTCCTCTGATATTCTTGACAAAATCACAGATTGCAAATAGAAGTAATAAACAACGATTATTCAGTGAACATGGCATTATGAATAGCAATAGCTCTGCTGGCTTATTTTCCATGAAGCGCTAGCGTGCATCATGGAATATGCCAGCAGAGCAATTGCTATTCATAACACCATGTTCACTGAATAATGTTGTTTTAAATTTCTTAAATAAGACAGAGACCGTCCAGCTGATTCTGTTTTTGAAATATCTGGATTGAAGGAAGTGAACTATTATTTTGGAATAAGCGGAGGACTTATAGACAATGGTCACCGTTTATCTTTAATTATAACTGCAGCTAGATGTTATAAACCGCACCACCATATTGTCTTTTTTAGTGGTAATGACCTAGAATTATGTGACCTAGACTATAGTGTGGAGTGTACTGTGGCTAAACTGAGTGCATTTTTAACACAGCTTAAAGGAGGATTTTGTCTGAAATTAGTTACTGTGCTAAGTTTCATTCCAAAATACTCGACCAGAAATAAGAAGCAGAGAAGCTAACCGTCATCTCAAAGGCTATTGTACTACCCACGGCCTAGTATTCTGGAAACTAAAGTGTTTTTCTGAAAGTCGTCACCCAATTCTGTGTGATGGGGCGTATTATGTAAATTTATGTAATTTTTGTTTATACACAACTATGTTACTGAACTTTTTACGTAATCAGTAGACATGTGCCTGGGATGTTTATAAACAAAACCACGTGATTAATTGAACCAATCAGAATTGCGGAAAGGGACGCTATCTTAGTCTGTCTTTTGTATTTGAAGTACACAGCATTGTGCCTTAATTGTTTGTTATTATTTTGTCTTTATTCCAACGTTACATTCTACTTTCGTTTTCTAAATTTTTAATCATGTGATACCAATGGTTTTATGGATATATTTTGAGACATTTCGGGATCTATTGTGATTTTTCCTAGACTGTGATAAATTTGCAAACTGCCAACAATCAGGAATCGGACTTGTGTTAATCGACAGTCCTACGATGACTCTCTTCCAGAAAATTGGTCTGTTAAAAACTTAGAGATGAACTGAGATTGAAAGGCATCACACAGCCACAGAACACCAGATATTAAGTGTACTAGTGTCATATATAAGCAAATAGGTGTATATAAGCAAACTGTGACAACTGTATACAAATGAAGAGACAAGAACAGGGTGGGAATCGAGATGTCAAAAAACAGTTACACCCAACCAAGACGTTAGAACTGAACTACTAGGCATAGTTAAGGACCTTACATCAACAGTACAGAGCCTACAAAGCAGCATGATTTCCTTGACCGAAAGAGTCAACATCATGTCTCAATCGCAAATGTCTATACCAGCGGTTGCTGGTAGTGCGGAACAATTATGCCAGTCGGGGGCCCAAACTACCACTTCATGAAATGATGTTACTCCTGTGATATCCAGAACTCCTCGAGAGATGAGGGAAACAGAAAACTACACTCTAACAACAGCATTAGCTGACCAAACATCGCCAAAACCCATGGGAGTCAGAAATACATATGGATATTCGGCGGAATCACTTCCTTATGTAGAAACAATTTCACCGAATCTTCAGAAGCAGATAATAGAAGGTAAGGATGTCAACCTTGCTACCATTCTAATACCTTACTACACCGGGCCCGAAGTAGACAAAGATAAAGTTGACAAGGAGAAAAAACACCCTCGATTGAACAAAACTTTAACAGAGTTTATTCAAGCTTTCTGTATTTACAAAAACACGATGTGTGAAACTTTCCCTAGACGTAGACAAGAATTAGACTTGTACGAGCGTGACATTATAGATATGGCTACCTGATACGGCAACTCAGCCTTTTAAGAATACCATAAACAGTTTATTGCTAGGGCAGCTGCGTACCTCAAGTATCACAATATTCCAATTGACTGGTCAGTCCGCAACAATACATTATTTTACAGTATCTTTGCCAATGACAAAACCAATAACTTGCACTCTCTGCAGCAGTGTTAGTCATTAATTAACTCTTTGCTCCCTGATAATGTCTGAAGACGTGTTTATGAAATACACTCATCGCCTAGTAACGTCTCTAAGCGTTATCATTTACTTGCATTTGTTTAGAGACGAAACCGACGCTACCTGTAAAACGATCTCTGATTTGCTGAATCCGAGGTTAATCGAGAATCCCAAAGATATTCAGCCAATAAGAATAGGTCTTATAAACCGAATTAGGTAAACACTGTGATGTTTTACTTCCTTTTATAGCAGAAAACGAAAGTTGAATGATATTGATATCGCGTGGGTAAAAACAATGGAGTCGAGTAGTGATAGTGGTTCAGAATTTGAAGGATTTGCACCTGATGTCGTGGAAGCAGCACGGAAAGCATTATTAGAGCTTGTAGAAGTGAATCCTGAGGATATTTCTGATGTAGATATATCGGACATATCGGACATTGAGACCGATTCTGAGAGCGAAAATGATGATGACCCCCTTCCAAAAAACGAAGATGGCGACCGACGCGCATGGCATGAGGAGCTTGAAAATGTAGCTGTGCAGCCATTCTCTGCAATTTCGGGACCAACAACAGTTTTAGATGGAAATGCAGTGGAATTGGACTTTTTTAATTTACCATTTCCACCCCAGGTTTATGAAATCTTGGCTAGAGAAACAAACAGGTATGCCGATTTAGAACAAGAAAAAAATGGTGCTGACTCAAGATGGAGATCAACCACAGCTGAAGAAATCCGTGCCTACGTTGCCATTCAGATAATTATGGGCATCATTGTGGCTCCCACACAGGACATGTACTTTACCAAGGATGACCTGTTCAGACCCACAGGAATCAATGAAAGGGATGACCAGAGACAGATTGGATAAATTGAACCAATATTTCCATGTAGCCGATACATCGACAAATCCACCACGTCAACAACCAGGCCATGATAAATTGGCACACATTCGACCAATAATGAATTTAATATTGCAAAAAACTAAATCTGAGTATTCACCGCATATGGAAACTTCAGTTGATGAAGCAATGATTGCATATACTGGACGCTAAGGATTCAAGCAATACCTACCCCTCAAGCCTACAAAACGAGGGATCAAAGTTTGGATGAGGGCTGATCCCAATAATGGATATGTTAACAAATTCCAAGTATACACTGGAAAGGAGGGAAACGTGGCCGAAAAAGGACTCGGTGAACGTGTTGTACGAGACCTCACCAGAGAGATTTGGGGAAAGTACCACCATGTGTACTGTGACAACTACTTTACCTCGGTAGACCTGTTTCAAGACCTACTCAACAACCAAACTTATGCCTGTGGTACGATACGTACAAACCGCAAGGGAATTCCTCCAGCCGTGGCAAATGCAAAGTTGAAGAAACAAGGTGACATGGTACAACGGCAGAAAGATTCTATGGTTGCCACTGCCTGGCATGACAAGAGAACTGTAACTCTGTTGTCAACCAATTCAGATCCACGTGATGTGACAGAAGTACAAAGGAAGCAGAAGAACGGAGAAATCATCAATGTGAGATGTCCTAAAATTGTGAAGCTGTACACCCAAAACATGAATGGTGTTGATAGAGCAGATCAGCTAAGATCCACCTACAGTATTTGTAGAAAAGCAGCCAAGTGGTGGAAATACCTGTTTTGGTTTATGGTTGATGTCGCTATTTGCAATGCTTTCATCCTTATGAAGAAATCGCCCAACCACATCACCACCACTAAATCAGGAAGGCGCAGGGAGAGGAAACAACTAGAATTCAGACAGAAACTGGCCCATCAACTTATAGGGGATTACTGGGGAAAGAGAAAACGTGAATCCGTTGGAGAACATCAGACAAGAGGGCTTTCACACTGGCCTACTGAGATGGACAAAAAGCGCACTTGTAAGCAGTGTGCCAAGAACAAAATTCGCCGAGAGAAGATATACAGCTGTGAACAATGTGGAGTGAACTTGTGTGTGACTTGCTTCAAGCCATATCACATGGAAAAACACCCTGAACTGTTCAATTGATTGTGATTTGAACAAAATATGTTAAAAAAAACTACAAACTGTAAATTGTATCTGAAATTGTGTGCCTATATTTTTTTTATTTGGAATTATTTTTACACTGGATTATGGCTCAGATTATTAAAAAGCTAAACTGAAAATTTGGTGAGTTTTTATGAAGTATTAACAAAGTTATGGTCATTTATGTAATGCTCACTGCAAACATCAGTCACTCTAGCTGCTGATGCTTAATTGCCTCCGGGCACACACTAGAGATAAGAGCTCAGGGATGTAAACAAAGATGGCCGCCAGGGAGCAAATAGTTAAAGAAATATAGTATGTATAAACTATGAATCAAACCATTCAATTTGAATAGCAAGATTGTCTTTATTTATTTTGCTTCCACCAGATGGCTTAACACCCAAGAGGAGGAAGAGAAGAAAAAGAGCCTTGGTCCATACCAGTGTCGATGGCCATCAGATCCCTCAAAACGCAGAAATGCCACAAGGGGACCAGAAAGAAATGATACAGTCCTGTATGGCCTCAATTCTGCCAACTATTGAGGGCTATTTTAGATGTTATATGGTTGACTATCACAACAGAGGTAACCAGACACAAACAGCTACGCATTCCAATCTATCTACCATCGTAACACAGCCTGGACAGCCACAGTCAGAGGTGTCTAAAGCAGTCCCTCCAGAAACTGTGTCAACCAACCCTCCACTCTTCCAGGAAATTACTGCATAAGATATTAATCCATTGTCTCAACAAGCTAAAGAGGGGGACTCACACCCTGCAACAGGCCTATCATTGGGGGTAGATGACAAATTAAGGGCCAAAATCCATGCCAATGAGTTTGTTAAATTTGCTACCCTATTATGGGGAAACTAGGAATTACAAGTCAGTAAATAAAAATGGTCATTAATCTTCGTTATGACAAATGACAAAGGTTCATTGAAAACAATTACCAACTGGGTCAAAGCCTTCCACATATTTGTAGCTATTTCTGCGGAGATATTCCCCCACGAAATTGGTAAACTGATGACCTATGCACACACTGTGCAAAAAATCACTGACTCTTGTGGGGATCAAGCAGCCTTACTGTACGACAAAATATTTCAGTGTATGCATGAAAAAGAACCTTCCTTGTGTAAATGGGATAAGAAAAATATTGAACTTTATCCAGAGCTTTAGTCTCTGGCCTAGTCTTAAAACTTTAAAGCAGGAAACAACCCTTTCATCAGTTTGGAAGCCCGATACTCTACAGGCCACATCCAACTCGGTTAAGACTTGTAAACTATTGTTGAAATTCTCGTTCATTGTTATTTATTGTCGGCTATAATAAATTCGGAAACCTGATTTTACAGAATAGATTGCAAAGTTCAACTTGGAGACATTGATGACTGGCTAGTAAACATATAATTTACAGAGGATTCGGGCAACAAAGACAAATTCCTTGGCTTCCAAAATCAATGGACACTGGAGAATTTACAGCACTGTCTACCACCTCGCTATAGAAAGGTAGGGGGTGCTACAATTGAGCATCCTGAAGAAGCCTCCACTGCAAAATACTTTAACTTGTTCTGGACTAATGAAATGTTGGATAGAATAGTCCAGGAAATGAACTTGTATGGGGAACAGGAGAGGAGAAAAATCCTATCACTACTGTACATGCATGCAATAAAATGGACACCAGTGAATGCCTTCGACATAAAAGAATTAATTGGCTTATACTTTGCAATGGGAATCCTCAGATTAACCTTAAAAAAAGATTACTGGCAACAAAGTAAGTGGTTATTTTGTACTTCATTCAGAAAAGTGATGTCAAGAGACAGATTTACACAATATGGAATGTACTGGTACTTGCACCTGCAGAACAATGAGGTACAGCCAGATCAGCCGGACAAGTTATGGAAAATGGGGTGGCTCATAAACTTCCTAAATGAGAAATTTAAAGAAACTTATGTACCATATGAAAATGTCACCATTGATGAGAGCATGGTAAAATTCAAAGGCCAGTCAGGTTTTCAACATTATTTACCAGGAAAGCCAATGAAATGGGGAATCAATTTTGGACTATAGCAGAGCATTAGTGATACAGGTACATGACTACATTTTAAGGATGCACTGGAAAAGAGGATGGCCAAGAGAAAGGTCTAACACACAAAGTGGTATTGGACCTGTGTACCTACATGTTTGGCAATCTGTCCATCTATATGGACAACTTCTACACAAGAGAGGGTGCAATATGATTCTGCCCCAGGTAGAAGCTTGAATAGATTTTCGCCACATTTGGCCCAAGATCACCAGTCAGATGGTTAAAGCATTCGCTTCCACGTAGCAATGTCTCATTGAAGTTGTTTTGGATCTTCTCATGCAAGCACACAATTTGAAACTGACATCATAGACAAGACTAATATGATATCTTTTCAGATGATCAGCAACATGTTTAGTAACCTCACAATTTTTTTTTATCTTCTACTTTAAGATGTTACCTTATAAAATATATATATATATATTAGGGATGGCAATCGAATACAGAATTGCTAATCGGTTAACCGCAAGACGTTCCGACCGATTAACCGGTTAATCGTATCAAAATGCACGTTTTCTTGAAAATTGTTTTTCAAGTAGATCTGTCCATACACACAAATAGACCCAAATAAGACGATAGAAGTTAGAAAGTTAAAACATTCAATTAGTCTTGATTCTGGATCAGAAAACTTGGGGTACATATTTTTTATTTAAATTTCAGTAGACAAGAAAAATTTGAGGAAAAAAACAAGAAAATGCCGAAGAAATCTTTGATAATTTTCAAGAGCAGATTTCACAAAAGTTCTTTCTGCATTTTCACTATGTTATGATATTCAAAACTACATGTAAACTCTATAGCCCTTAATTTACAAGGTTTGTTTAATAATTACATGTAAATTGGATTGAAAACTGAAAACGACGAACAAACCAATTCACAGTGCTCAATGATTCAATTATTATCATTAAAGAATTACAGGACAGTCGGGGTAACGACATTGTGTTTTCACAGTAATTCACACTACAAACACTGACCAATTATGCAACGGTCTCAATCTGGAGATTCATAATTACATGTACGCCCAAATTAGATCCGTTAAATCCTAAATGATCATCCATTGTGCAGAGATTTCTTTTTTTAAAATAAATTTTTAAAAATATGTGTTCAATTTAACAAATATTTTATTTTTTCCGATTAACCGATTACAGATTTTCTAATCGATTGCCATCGTTCCGACGGAGTAATCGGTTAACCGGTTACAAATTGACATCCCTAATATATATATATATATATATATATATATATATATATATATATATATATATATATATATATATGTTGTAAATTTTAGAACCATTTATGCCCATGAACAAAATGTTGCAATAGGCATGGATGCTTTTTTTAATAATAAGTTTTAGGGATCAAATAGTATTTTTTACACACTGGACTGTGAGTGACGATTTATCATTACTTGAAAACATTGATGATTCATGTATTTCTTAAATGGACACTAGATAATACAATTCATATTAATGTGTATGTACCACAATTGTATACATATTTTGCATTTTAAAGACTTAGATTTATGTAAATCCCTGATTTTCAAGTTATAATTGATAGTCTATAATGATGTAAAAAAAAAATGCCCCAGCAAGCTTTTCTATCTATTTAGTCTTTCCATTTCAACATTGAACAGTATTGTAATATATTGTCGGTGAAGTGAGGAAACAGTTGCGTTGTATGTATTGTATGTATTGTTAAGCAATTACCAATGGAGAACACTCAGTTAATTAAAATTGTACTTAAATTAAATATCAATAAATTTGAATCATAGAATTTAAATTGTATTGAGTCATGAATAAGCATGAATAATCATGAAACTTGTGTTGCTGTGTAATGTTGAAGATTTTCGAATTTCATAAAGGTTCATCATTGTTCATGAAGTATAAATTTTTTTCAGTATGAATGTGTTCATGAATTAAATTCACAAACTACTTTTAAGAAGCTGTTATGAATCTTTTATGAGCATTCAAGAACAATGATGAACAACTCATAAAAGTTCTTTAAGTCATGAATATCATCTCGCAGGGGCATGCATCTCCTGTATCCAGTCTTGGATTAGCATCAGATAATTCCACATGTTCAATGCAGGTTTCAGCATCTTTCCCTGTTCGAGACAAAGCGTATCTGGAATCTGGACATACTGGGTTGACTTTTACGTCAACTTCCGCTGCATCTGACATGGCTGCACCAACGGTTTTAAACAACGCAACTGTTTCCTCACTTCACCAACACTTGAAATTGAATGACATTGTCAGTTCAATAAGCCAATTGTCATCGTTAGTGAAATCAAGCATGAAATGAAAGTCAGGGGAAAAAGAATCCTCCAGAAAACGTTTCAAGCAAAACGAGAATAAAGATGTGATTTTGGAACATCAACACGAAACTTCTGATGACGATAATGACAGTGAGGAAGATAGTTTCTCAGATGATAACAATGATGAGACAAGGTTTGGCCATGCTTTTACCAAAGGTAAAACCTCTGCAAATGTGAATAGCTCTTTAGCCTCAATGCTGAATAAGGCTTGTACATCCACAACAGATGCTACCTTTATTAAAGATATTAGAGATAAATATGATAGTGATAACAGCAGCTGAGCTGGCTGCAGTGAAAAAAGTTTCAACTTATTTCATCATGAGATTACCTACAAAAATGATTATTGGAGATAGTCCAAGTGGATGTTTGTAAACAATTTGGCATAGTTATGCCCAGAGATAGATTTATGCAAATCTAGAAATATATACATCTTCAAAACAATGAAGAATAGCCTCAACAACTGGACAAAATGTGGAAAATTAGATGGTCTGTTGAATTTTAAAACACAAAGTTTAAAGAACTGTATGTGCCATACAAAAATATTACTTTTGACAAAAGTATGATAAGTTCAAGGGATGACTTGCCTTCAGACAATATCTCCCAGCTTGGCTTGTG